ATTCAGGAGATTAAAAGAGCACTGGAGGAGATAAAGAATTCTGAAAAAAGCAATGGAAACAGAATAGATGAAGTGGAAGAACGAATCAGCACCCTCCAAGACACAGAAATAAAGAGAAACAAATTAGAAAAAGAGAAGTAAAAAGGAAAAGGAATGAAGAAACACTCTGAGAGCTATCTGACACCATGAAGAAAGGAAATATCAGAATTATAGGTCTACCAGAAGGTGAGGAAAAATGCAAAGGAATTGAGAAAATATTCACAGAGATAATTGAAGAGAGTTTCCTGATACGAAGGAGATGAAAACAGACATACAAGAAGTTGAGAAGAACACCAAAGTACCATGATGAAAGGAGAAATACAGCAAGACACATAATGGTAAAGCTAACAAGAGTCCAAGACAGGAAAAAATAGTGAGAATGACAAGAGGAAAGAAACAAGTAACTTGTAAAGGAAAACCAATCCTGTTGATGTCAGACTTCTCTGAAGAAACACTAAGGGCAAGAAGAGAGATGGAAGGACATACTCAACATTAACTCCAAGACATCAAATGCCTACTGAGAATACTTTATCCTGCAAAGCTCTCCTTCCTATATGAAGGAAGAATAAGGACATTCCCAGACAAACAGAAACTCCACAATTTCGTCAAGACTAAACCCCTACTCCAAAAAATACAACAAGAAGCCCTTAAACCAAAACCAACAGAGGGACAAGTATGAACAAGGAATAAAAACACAGAAAGAAAAACAAAATGGCAAATGTAAGTGCCCATATATCAATATTAACTCTACATGTAAATGGTTTAAACTCAGCAATAAAGAGACACAGAGTGGCAGGCTGGATTAAAAAACAGAACCCAAACTTCTGCTGTCTCCAGGAAACACATCTAACTGCAAAAGATAAAAACAGATTGAAAGTAAAAGGATGGAAAACAATCCTACCAGCAAATGGACCAAAAAAGAAGGCAGGGATAGATATTCATACATCAGATAAGACAGACTTCAAACTAAAAAAGGTTAAAAGGGATACCGATGATCAACGCATTATGATTACAGGGACAATAAAGCAAGAAGACATGTCACTTATCAACATGCACCAAATGAAGGAGCAGGAAAATTTATAAGGAAAGTGTTGTCATCTATGAAAATGTACATTGGAGAAAACGCATACATAGTAAGAGACTTCAAAATGCCACTCTCAACAGTGGACAGATCAACCAGACAAAAAATAATAAAGGATACTAAGGCTCTAAACAGGGACCTTAAGTTCTGGGCCTAACAGACATCTATAGAACATACATCCAAAAAAAATCAGAGAATACATTTTTCTCAAATCCACACGGATCATTCTCAAAGATTGACCACATACTGGGACAAAAGTCAAATATCAATAGATACACTAAGATCGAAATCATACCAACTATCTTCTCTGACCATGAAGGAATCAACCTAGAAATTAACCATGTGAAGAAGGCAAGAAACCCTCCTACTTTGTGAAGATTGAAACCCACACTACTAGAGGACTATTGGCTCAATAAGGAGATCAAGGAATAAACTGAAAACTACCTTGAGAAGAATGACAATGAGGACACAACTCTACAAAACATATGCGACAAATTAAAAGCAGTTGTAAGAGGACAATATATAGCAATACAAACACACATAAAGAAACAAGAAACAACTCAAAGAAATAACCTAATCTCCCACCTTAAAGGACTGGAAAAAGAATTGCAAGGTAACCTAAAAACCTGAAGAAGACAGGAAATAATAAAAGTGAAAGCAGAAATAAATGAAAACAATCCAACAAATCAATGAAACCAAAAGTTGGTTCTTTGAAAAAGTAAACAAGATTGACAAACCCCTAGAAAAGCTCACAAAGAAAAAACAGGAGAAAGCACAGATAAACAGGATCATAAATGAAAGAGGTGAAATGAACAGCTGTGGGCAAACAAGTTCAACAATCTAGAAGAGATAGACAAATTCCTACAACTCTACAATCATCCAAAGCTAGATTAAAGAAGAAATAGAACAACTTAACAGGCCAATTACAAGAAGTGAAATTGAAGCAGTAATCAAAACCCTCCCCAAGAATAAAAAACCCAGGACCAGCTGGATCTACAAATTAATTTCACCAAACATTCAGGAACAAACTAGTGCCTATCCTACAAAAACTCATTCAAAAAATCGAGAAAGAAGGAAAAATACCAAATACTTTCTACGAAGCCAAGAATAATTCACCACGTGGGTTTTATACCAGGGGCACAAGAATGGTTCAACATCTGAAAATCAATAATCTGTAACATCAACTGACAAAAAAATTAAAAATCATATAACTATATCAATAGATGCAGAGAAGGCATTTGACAAAGTTCAACATTCATTTTGTTTAAGGCCCTTGAAATCATTGGAATAGAAGGAACATACCTCAATATGATAAAAGCCATATATGACAAACCCACAGCCAATATTATCCTCAATGGAGAAAAGCTGAAAGCATTTCCTTTGAGATCAGGAACACGACAAGGATGTCCACTGTCACTACTGCTCTTCAACATAACATTAGAAGTCTCAGCCAGAGCAGTAAGACAGGAAAAAGACATACAAGGAATCCAAATAGGGAAAGAATAAGTAAAACTACCTTTATTTGCACATGATAAAAACCCTAAGAACTTTATAGAAAAACTAATCAAAACAATTAACCAGTTTAGCAAGGTTGCAGGTTATAAAATCAACACACAAAAGTCCGTAGCCTTCCAATATGGAAACAACCACTCAGAAGAAGCAGTACTCAAAAAAAACTATCCCCTTTACAATAGAAACAAACAAAAAATCAAGTACTTGGGAATAAACCTAACAAAAGAGGTGAAGGACCTACATAAAGAAAACTATAAAACCCTGATAAAAGACATACAAGAAGATACAAGGAAATGGAAAGACATCCCCTGCTCATGGATCAGAAGAATTAATATCATTAAAATGGCCTTCCTACCAAAAGTGATATACAGATTTAATGCTATTCCAATAAAAATCTCAATGACATTCTTCAAAGAAATAGAACAAATAGTGATGAGATTTATATGGAACCACAAAAAAACCTCGAATAGCCAAAACTCTCCTGACCAAAATAAAAGAGACTGGAGGAATCACAATCCCAGACTTCAAGCTATACTAAAAAGCCATAATAATCAAAACTGCATGGTACTGGAACAAGAACAGATATACAGACCAATGGATTCAAACAGAAATCCCAGATATAAATCCACAGGTATATGAACAGCTAATTTTTGACAAAGGAGCAAAGAATATGCAACGGAACAAAGAAAGTTTGTTCAGCAAATGGTGCTGAACATGATATGGGCAAAAAAATGAAGCTACACTACTACTTTGCACCATGCACAATAACTTAAAATGGATTCAAGAACTAGATGTAAGATCCAAAACCATAAAATATCTAAAAGAAAAGGTGGGCAAAACTCTGCATGATAAACACCTTCATAGCTTTAAAGATACATCACCCAAAGCAAGGGTAGTGAAGGAAAGGATAAACAACTGGGACTACATCAAATTAAAGAGCTCTGGACAGCAAGAGAGACACTACACAAAACAAAGAGATACCCCAGTGACTGGGAGAAAATTTTTCGCACAATACTTATGATTAAGGACTGATCACAAAGGTACACGAAGAGCTGATGAAACTCAACAAAAATAAAGTGAATAACCCATCAATAAATGGGCAGAAGCGATTCAAAGACACTTCTCCAAAGAAGAAATGCAGACGGCCAGCAGACATATGAAAAAATGTTCAACATCACTTATTAAACTGGTAAGAGCAGATACTACACTTAATCTTAGCCAAAAGGCCAAGAAGCGATAAACATCACTTATAATAAGGAGAATGCAAACTAAAACTATAATCGGATACTGTCTCACACCAGTGAGAATGGCACATATTAAAGCAACTAGCAACAACAGATGTTGGTGAGGATATGGAAAAAAAGGAACTCTCCAACAAGCTGGTAGGAATGCAAACTGATACAACCACTATGGAAAGCTGTTTGGAGGTTTCTCAAAGGGCTAAAAATAGAGCTTACATATATGACCCAGCAATGCCACTCCTAGGTATATATCCAAAGGACACAAAAACATCGATTCAAAAGGACACCTGCACCCCCATGTTTATTGCTGCTCTATTTACAATAGGGAAGATGTGGAATCAACCCAATGCCCAAAAATAGATGACTGGATTAAGAAGATGTGGTACATATACACAATGGAATATTACTCAGCGATCAAAAAGGACAAACTCGTGCCTTTTGCAGCAACATGGATGGACCTGGAAGGGATCAAGCTTAGTGAAATAACTCAGAAAGAGAAAGAAAAATACCAGATGGTTTCACTCATAGCAGAAGCATAAGGGATCAGGGAAGAAAAAAAAAGAGACTAACAAATGTAATAGAGTAAAAATGAAAACAATGAACAACTATAAACCATAGACATTTTATGGGGGCTAGAGAGGAAAGGATCAGAACTGGGGTGGGAAGAGTGCACTGGACTGTGGTGATGGCATACAGGTAAATTGGTGATGGGAGGCTCACGCAGATTACAACTGAGCTGGGAAAATGCACAAAATGAAGAATGAAGTAAAAATAATTAAAAGAATAAAATATGTATATATATTAAAACAAACCCACATTAAAGTTAGCTGTACTATACAAAAAAATGTGTTATACACTGCAACAGTCAATAACTTGTAGCTTTTAAAAAAGAAGTCATGTCTTAAAATAAAAAGCCAAGGAGGTCTCCCATGAACAAGACTTTGCCAGGTGCTGTGCAAAAGCATCATATTTAATTATATCAAGCTGTTCAATATCTCCACTTTACACATTAAGAAAACATGGCTCAGAGAAACTAAGTATTAGGCTTAAGGCCAGGATGCTTTGGATAGGGATTGGGGGGAGGGGGAGCTCTTCTGGCCTGGTCCCAAGTGATCAGCTGCTCTTACTATACTCTGCATCCTTGAAGCATGCTCCCAAGCTGTCCTGTTCATCCAGACTGGCGTTTTCCTCCTCTTCCTCACTCTCAGTTTTCCAGTATGCTGGCCGCTTGATAGGCCGCTTTCCCGGGGTACGCTGGGAAGCAGGGCTGCTAGAAACTGTGCCCACACCACTGCTGGAACTCCCACTACTCCGGTCCTGGCCCCCTGTCCACCAGGCCTGCAGACTGGAGGTAGCTGGTGAAGATGATGAGGATTGCAGGTTGGCCATACACAGCATGCCTTGGATAGCCTCCTGAGTGCTAGGAGAGGCAGGGGCCTCACTGCAAGTGACAGAGAAGAAATGTTGAGGAAGTTTCTCTAGTGGTCAGAGAAAACTGGTCATTGGAATAGTAAGGGAAGAAGAACAATTGTGGGGATCACTGTGGAAGAAGAGAGAAGCATCCCAAGTTCTCTCAAATTAAAAAGTATCATGATAATATTAGTTTGTTTTTATTGAAAAGTCAGTCCCTTCTTGCCCCAAGACTCTCTATAGATAGCAGGCAAGATGGCACAAAGATGGGCACATCTCTCTACCTTTTTAAGCCAAGCTTCACGCTTTCATTTTTTAACAGAATCCAGAAAAGGCCTATATTCTTCTATGCCTCTTCTAGTCCCTCTTTAAACTTTCAAAGAACCCAAAACCAATTCCCCTTGAAATCTATGCAGTCTCTCTTTGTCAGATCTTAAGTTTCTCAGGACAGATTTTATGCTACTTGATTCCTTCAGCCTGAATGGCCTGGCTAATTCTTCGCCCCTTTAAATGAAATGACAACTATCAGCTGATTGACTGACTTAGCCCTTTGGGCAAGAGTGTGGAGGGTGGGTAGGGTGGGGTGGTACTGTCTGATAACCTGGAAAGAATAGATAAAAGCTAGTACTTACGTGAGGGCAGCATAGTCAGGTCCCCCCACCTGCCTGCTGGCCTTCAGCAGATCAAGAATTCCACCAGCTCCACTCCCATTCCCAAGCTTGCCTTCAACCCCTTCTACCATGTCCTCATCTGTTGTATAGTCCTCCTGTTGGGGGAAAAAGGATTTCATCTCAAGTGCCAAGGATTGGTCTGGTAAGGGCCCAATACAGGACTGACAGTTTCATTCCTGACACTGCTGTAGCTAAACACCAGGTATAAAACAAGTATTAAACAGAATATTCATTTTTTTCCCCGCAGTCACTACAGCATCTTTGTGAGGTAGATATTATAACTTCCATTTTACAGATAAGGAAATGAAAGTTTAGAGAAGTTAAATAATTTTTGTAAGGTCCCAATTAGATATTCCAATCTGGATACTCTTTCTGCTATATCAAACTGTGTTTTATTCTACTCTGTATACAAAGATTTTTTAAATATTTCATTTGGGCATCCCTAGTGGCTCAGATGTTAAAGTCTCAGCACTATCAAACTCTCACCAACCACTGTGACAAAAGTTCAGTCCCCGGCAAGGCTGCTTAACCCACATGGTGCAGCAGACCTTTCCTGTCTCACCTGCTTCTTCCCTCAGCACTGTATTTCAGTAGATCCTCCTGTCCTGATCCCCACTCTGTCTCTGATGAATCTTCTCACCCCCTGCACCTCTGGCCTGTACCCCAGTTCTTGTATGCATAAATAAATAAAATGAATCATTAAAAATTAAAACACACATTTCATTTAAAATATAACGGTGCATTTTGTATGCTCAGAAGCACCCGGAAGATCATCTTTCACTTATATTTTAGGAATTAACTACATAGGATGTCTTCCCTCCCCCCGCCCCAACTAGAATGACAATCTATCATCTGTCTCTGAAGACAGAATGGACAGAAGACTAACATAGGGCAAGTTCCTACCTCAATATCAAACTCAACTTCTCCTGGTTCACGAATCCGGTTGGGGTCAGAACAAGGCTTCGCACGTGGCAACTTTCTGGGAAATTCTAGAAAACAATGGAATTCACTTACCATGCGCCAAACACCCAGGGGAAAAAGAAAATAAGACTATAATTTTCCTAAAGTAATGATTACAGGCAACTAACTCAGGGAGGTTAAGAATTAAGATATAAATATACCTCTAGAGCAAAGGAAGATAGAGGCTGAAAGAGCTGGTATACTAGAATGTCAACAAGCTCAAGTCTAAGATCTTGAATCTACTAAGGGGCTCAAAACCAAATGTGAAATGGGAAGGTCAGGAAAGACAAAGAACAAGTACATACTTGGTCTGATTATCAGGGTTGCCTTCTCCTTTCCCAATCTCTCGTCAATCTGTAGTTCATCATCTGAATCCAAATCAAAATCATTCCCCATCACCTGTTCTGCCACCAGCCTAGCCTTATCTGCCTTTTTTGCGATCTTGGCTCGCCGAGACTTTGCTAAGTTTTTCATCCTCTTGGTACTAGAAAGAGAATGAGAACATAAAAAACTAAAAGTCACATGCAATATTGTTAAGATGGCAATTCTCCTTAACTGCTCCACAGATTCAAGGCAATCTCTACCAAATCCAGCTAGCTTTTTTTGTAGACATTGGTAAGATGATATTAAAATATATGTGGACACACAAAGGACTGGACATACTCAAAACACATTTTGAAAAAGAACAAAGTTGGAGCACTTATACCATTCAATTTCAAAATTCACTACAAAGCTACAGTAATCAGGGGAGTGTGATATTGGCAAAAGGGTGAAGAAATATATAAATGGAACAGAATGGAGAGCTTAGAGCTAAGCTCCTCAATTCATGGCCAACTGAATTCTGACAAAGGTGCCAAGGCAATTCAATGGGGAAAAGAATGATCTTTTCAACAAATAGTGCTGAGGTAACTGGATATCACATGCAAAGAAATGAATATAGATTCTTCTCTCACATCTTACATGAAAATTAACTCAAAATGGAGCATTGACCTAAAATATAAAAGTTAGAACTATAAAACCTCTAGAAGAAAATACATACTTTTCCTGTGACATGATACTAGGTAAAATTGAAGAGTTTTGTAATTCAAAAGACACCAAGCAGAAAATGAAATGAGAAGCCATGGACTGGGAAGAAATATTTACAAATCCTTTATCTGATAAAGAAATCATATCCAGAATTTTAAAAGAACCCTTTGAATCAGTAATAAAACAACTTAATTACAAAATGAGCAAAAGATCTAAATAGACATTTCCCTAAAGATGATAAACAAGTAACCAGTGATTATACAAAAAGATGCTCACTGTCATCAAGGAAATACAAATCAAAACCACAAACAATGAGATACTACTTTACAGATATCAGAATGTCTATAATTAAAAAAAAATAGACAATACTAAGTGTGTTAGCCACTACCCAGAGAAATTCATCATTGGTGGTGAAAATAAAAACAGTAGACACTTTGGAATAAAATTTGGCAACTTCTTAAAAAGTTGTACATAGTTATGATATGAACCAAAATTTTACTCCTAAGCGAGAAACTAAAACATATTTGCATAAAAACTTATATGAAAGTGCTTATAACACTATTATTCATAATAACCAAAAAATAGTCAATTGAAATGAACATCAACTAATAAATGAATAAACAAATGTAGTAAATCCATACAATGCAGTACTATTCAGTAATTAAAAAAATTAATGATACATACTACTACATCATGGTTGAATCTCAAAAACATGCTAAGTAAAAGAAACCTGCTACAAAAGACCACATATTATATAATTCCATTTATATGAAATGCCTAGAAATAGCAAATCTAGAGAGATAGAAGTAAATGAGTAGTCATCTGGGAAGAGAAGTTTTCTAAAACTGGATCGTAGTGACGGCTGCACATTTTTTTTTAAAATATAATAATTTATTTTTACATCATTTTGTACTTATTTTTTTCACCTCAGTTGTAATCCCCGTGGGGCTGCACATTCTTTAAATTCATTGAAAGTCATTTAATTGTAAATGTGCAACAGGTGAACTGTATGGTATGTAAATTAAAATATATCTCTCAAAAATATGTAAAGGAAGTAGAAAAAACCTCAAAAGTATAAATAATTCTGTCTCACATGATAAGCAACATTAACAAGTACAAATTGCTTGTCGGTAAAAAGAAAAAGAAACAAGTTCTGGGTACACTTGATAAATTCAGCAGTCATTTGGTGAACTGGCTTTGAGTGAGTTGGATATCAATAAATTGACCTGTTTTCTGTAGTTGGAAGGATTAAAGTAGCTAATGCAGAGGCTGACAAGACTAGTGTCCAAGGGCAGCCAATCTTATAATTAACTTCTCTGAGCCTCAGTTTTCACATTAAGAGGAGGGTAAAAAACACTTACCTTTAAGGTTGTTTGCTATAAGAACTAAATAAAATAATGTATGTAAGCAGCTAATATAAACTCTGACATAGCAGGTACTAAATAAAAGTATTTGTGTATTTTTAAATATTTATATATGTATAACTTTTAAAAAGATATTTATACGCTGATCTTTTAGTAACTTCTAATTATGAAAAATGTGTAGCATACATGAAAATGTAAGTATAATGAAATCTCATGTACTTATCACCCAGATAATTTTCAGCAACCATTAATACACAGCTAATTTTGTTTCATCTATACTAAAGTCCCTACAAAAGCTTGATTATTTTTTGAGAAAATCCCAAGGCATAATAAAAGAGCACAAGATTGCTGGGGAAGGTTAAAACATTTTACTGTATCTTCTATAGTCATTATAGGCTGAAACTTTAGGACATAATTCTCTCTTTCCCAGAAGATCTATCTTGGGTTCTAGACAAGGACAATGCTTAACAGTCTCTCTAATCTTATTATTTAGCAATTATATAATCAAATACCAAGGACAGTTCAGTTGTTTTCCGAATCTGCCCTGCCCTCACACTCCTTTTCCGTATTTCCCAGCCAGATGGCCCTCCTATATTTGCCCTTGGGGTCTGAAGCCAAGCTTTTCCTACCAAAAGGCTAAGAAGCGATCCTTGCTGCTTGTGCTCCTGTAGTTCATACCCCATACTTGGCTCGTGACTCCTACTGTATATGGTGTTGACAATCCAAATGATAACCCTTACTGTTCCTTTGCCTCTGCCTCCCTACATGTTTCAGAATTGCCGATGACCTACTTAGCTTCTGGCAATGCACATCATAACCATATCATCATATTTCATCTTCAACTTCATTATTATGCTTACAGCAGCTACCATTTATCAAATATTTACTATGTGCCAAGGACTGTGATAAGCATTTTATATATACTTCATTTAGTCCTCCAACAACCCATCTTAAGGTTAAGTTTTATCTGTAAATCAGAATTTATAAGTACATTGAGGCTCAGCTAGGTTAATTATTTTGCCAATGTCACACAACAAATACGTTTGAGAGCTAGGATACAAACATGGGATTGTCTGATTGCCAAACTAATGCTTTCATTGTGAACAGCTTTTACTATATTCCTTTAGAAAATGTTCAGCTAAAATCATCAGGCAAGTATAGATCAGAGACACCTAAGGGGAGAAGGAAGGAGAAGGGCCAGAACAGAAGTGGGAAGAACACAAGGCATTATGGCGATGGTACACGGGTGTACTGGTGGTGGGAATTTTATGGGGAAATCTTACATTGTACAAAAATGAAGGATGATGGAATGAATACATTTTAAAAAATAAAATACAAAACTATTTTAAGAAAGGTAATATATAATTCTTATATGAAGTTCAAACAGTACTGTAATGAAAATTTTCTCTCCTGCTTTCCCTATTCTACTTTACAGATATAACTATAGTTATAAGTTTGGTGTAACAAGTATAAAATACTTAAAAAATATTTGTGTGAATGTGTACAAACACCATGGAAGGAAGACATTAATGCTGGTATTCCATGGGAAGGAAACTAGGTAACAAAAAGAGTAAGAGCAAAACAATTCACTATGTATTCTTTCACATTGAGAATTTTAAGCTGTATAAATAAAATTTTAAACTAAAAAAGGCACAATTAAAAGGAAGAAGTTTGTTTTCTTACAAATACACATGTCTATTTAAGAAATAAAAATGGAAGTATTCCTATGTAGTACTACTTGAGTTTCTTCATTTATAAACATATCGTAGACATCTTTCTGTGTCAATAGACAAACTGTCTTTCTCTTTTTAACAAGTTCATAGCATTCTATTCTACAGATGCACCATAATTTATTTATCCAACCCTTACTGATGAATGTTTCCAATTGTCATTACAAGCAATGATGCTATAAACATTGACTATTTCTCTTTATACACTTGTGTATTTCCGCAAAATAAGATTCTTAAAAAAATCAAATCAGAAAAGTATATAAGAAAACTAATGGTCTTAACAAGTACATTATACTATCTCTTATTTCATGGGCTCTTACCCACTGACTTGCTAAAATTGCTAATTACACAAGATCTTTCTCAGGCTTGCCAATTAGATTACAGCTCTCTCCACCCCAACACTGCCATGGTTCACTGAATTAAACAATCAATGATATCTGATAATACCTGGGTATTTCCCCAAGTATATACCTTCCCCCACCCATGTCCCAGCTCCTAGGTCCCAATTTCATGCCCTATCTTAGTGACATGTTGCCACCAATAGTCCCAATATTTGTGTTCCTTTTCCCCACCTCACCTGCCATTAGCCATCAATAGGGACAGCGGGCCCTCATTTCCGTCAAGGTCCAAGTCTGGCGAGTCATCATCTGAGTCATTCAAGCAGGTACCAGTGATGTTGAACTGCAGAAGGAGGAGGCTCAGTTGTCACCTCTCTGGGTCTCCCATGTGAATCAGGATGGTCAGTTCCGTCCAGTTTCACAGGTTTGAGTTCACTGTCAAAACCACCTGAACAAAGGCCTTCTGCTACACTGTTCCCTACCCCCACCCGAAATGATCACAGAAGGAAGCCTATCACTCTTGTAAAACATATTCCCTGAAAGGAGGGGCGCATTAACATGTCAGTGGAAGACACCATAATCTTGAAGCAGGGAGGGGCCCTGAAAAAGGAATTTTCTCAAGGACCTCAAGATTCCAAACTGACACTCATATGCCATGTTTTCAATAGTCATTCCCATGTAAGCATTTCAAGATACAACTGAAGTATTATGTTTTCTGAGGGCTCCTGATCATTGCTCCTAAGCATATAGAATAATTTGATGTTTCTCAGGGTCCCTCCTACATCCTTGATCATAGCAGCTATAATACTTTATTGTGCTCATTTGTTTTTATGCCTGTCTTTCTCACTAGTCTGTCAGTCTCTTGAGGGTTACATCCACAGCACCTATCACAGTGCCCAGCATAGACAAGGTCTCAATAAATGCCTATTAAATGAGTGGGACTGGTAGCCATATATCAGGGGCCGTAAGGGAGGTGGGAGGAAAGCAAGATAGCCTGTCCTTTTAATAGCCTACTCCTCCTCCAAGGGACCCAAAAGGGTTGAGCTGAGCTCATGGGCCAGCACCCACCTTTGCTTTCTGGGAAGAGCCTGTCTTCAGTGCCTGATGATTGTATGTATCCATGAGATTATAGCTCAATTGCCCAGCAGGCCCCAAGGCTGAGCTCTCCTTGCCCTTTCGCTCTGCCTTCTTGAAGAGTTCCTTGGACTTCAGGCCTTTCTTCTTTGAACCACTTTTGGAGGAAAGTGGCAGCCTGGACATGGACACTGAAGTAGAATGGGCTGGTCTGGTTAAGGGAATGGAGCCAGCTGGAAAGATCCTCTGCAGCCCAAAGATATTGCTTGTCTTCCCAACGTTCTGTTGGAAGATATCCTATAAGAGTATTAGTACACGAGGGGGTTAGAGCTTACTCAAGGGCACCCTCTATGCTAAGAGCATATTTATGGCACTGGCGATACTACCATGGGAAGTTGTTTACAGATGGCTCCACATATGCACACCCTAGCTTTCTCACAAATGAATCATCAAGATTTACTGGGTGGCATTTCTTTATCCAGCCACTGATAGATAAGAATATGAAGCAGAGGAAAAGCCCAGGACTACTGTCAAAACTAGAGAAAAAAGACTCTAAGAGCAGTTGACATGAAACAGAAAAAAAATTCAGTAGCAAACTGTGTGGTTCCAACTCTAAGGAGTGCAAGATTTAAGAGGAGGAAAAAGGTTCTAGTCCTAATTCTGCTACCAGATAGCTCTGTGACCTCAGGAGAGTCATCTGATCATAATGTAGCACTGTTTGCTCTACTGCAAAATTAAAGAATTGGACTGGAAAGGTGGTTTTCAAAAATGCTCTGTGGCTCCTACTTCCCCTGGAGTCTGGAGTTTGGTGGAAGGCAAATAAGGGAAACAAGTGTAGCTCTACACCTCCCGCCTTCATCAAAGCTCTATGCTTTGATTGGCTCTATAAATTGAGCTTCCAGGAAAGAGATCCTTTGGGAAAAATACTTTCATTGTTTTAAAACATCTGAAAGCCAATGGACCAGATATGATCCATCTCTAAGTGTTCTTCCAATCAGCCCAAAGTTCTGTGTACGCAAAATGGCTTAAGTGTGAAGAGCCAGGCCTTTCAGGTAAATCTGAAGGATTCTGACAGATGGCAGTAAAGGGAAATGAGGTGGGAGGTGGACAATGTAAACTGTGATGTAGGCTGTGAAACATGGTACAAGTGATGAGGCTGGAAACCTAATTTCACAGTAGGTCACTCTGACCAACTTTCAGCATGGATTTAGTACCTGAATCCTAGGCACTAAATGGAACTTTACAGCTTTTGAGCTCCAGGAAAGTTTAAAATTCCTCAAGTTCAATTCTCTGATGCCTCTGCTACATCACCAGCCCACACTCAATTCTCTTTGCTGCAAAATCTGTTAATAATAATGGCTCACATTTATTGAGTACTTACTCTGCTAGGCACTGTGTGAAGGGCTCTATATTTATTAGCTCTTAATTCAAATAAAACTGAAAAGACGGTGATATCCCCACTTTATAGATAAGGATGCTAAGGTTCTGAAAGGCTTGCAAGTGACAGAGCAGGAACCAAAATCCAAGTTTCTCTGATTCTCTTACCACTACATCTTACTGCCTCATGGTATATGTCACATGTTGAAACATGGCTTTGTAATCACTTTCAACCTGGGAAAACCGTCATTTTGTAGAATGCAGAGACTGAGTCAAAACATTAATAACAACAACTACTACTATGACCTCTACCACCCACCACCACAGTGACCTACCATCAGATCACAATTTAGTGAGGACATATTATGTGCTAAGCAATATTCTTAGTGCTCAATATGTATCAACTTATTCAAAACTTTTAATGACCTGAATAGGTATAATTATTCCCACTTTTTGTGATGAGGAAGCTGAACTAAAAGTTAATTTGGCCAAGGTCTTCTAATTGACTGTGAGTTCTTTATAGGCAGACATTGTATTATTTATGTATACTAAGCACTTACCTCAATGTGTAAATACTTAAGGGACATAATAATTATAGGGCCCTTGGTGAGGTTTCTCCAATCCTTCCCCTATGCTCTCATGCTAATTGTAGAAGCCTGACCTGCCACTTGAGCCTTGAGCCCTTCCTAAACACCTCCCCTGCTCCCATGCTTCTTACTTCCACCAAGCGGATCTCCCTAGCCAGATCTTTAATGAGCTGTACAGTCCGTACTGTCTCTGGGATCTCATCCTCATGGTCTGGTAGAGCCTGTTAAACAAAAGACACAAGGAATAGACATGCACATAAATAGACACAAAAACAGAAATTTTTTACAAATGTACCAAAGCAGTCAATAGAAAATGGATCATATTTTAATAAATGGTCATATCAAGAAAAATAACCTTAATCCACATTTTGTACAAATTCTCAAAATATTGATAGATCATCGACATAAATATAAAATCTAAAACTATAAACCCTTCAAGAAGAAAGCGGAGAACATCTTTGCTACCTTGGGTTAAGCAAAAGATTTCTTAGGACATAAAAACCATTAACCATATATATGTTTGTATGTGTGTGTGTATAGACACACACAATGAAATATTACTCTGCAATCAAACAAGATAAAGTCATACCATTCACAACAACATGGATGGAACTTGAAGGGACTGTGTTCAGTGAAATAAGCCAGAAAGAAAAAGAAAAATATTGGATGGTTTCACTTATAGGAGGAATGTAGAGGAAACAAGGCATCCAGAGGAAACAAAGTAATTATAATAAATCAAAAATCAAAATCAGGCCATCTCTGGTGGGGCAGCAGGCTAAAGCACAGCACTGCAAGTGCACCACAGTCGCTTCAGTGTGAGTTCGATCCCTAGCCCTAGAGGTGATCCACATGGTGCGGCAGACCTCTCCAGACCTGTTTGCTGCTCCCCTCACTGTCTCTGGTGAATCCTCTCACCACCCCTGCGCCTCTAGCCTGTATCCTAGTTCTATATACATAAATAAATAAATATTTTTAAAAATTTTTAAAAAAGAAAAGCAAAATCAACAGGCAACTGTAAATCAGAGACATTCTGCAGGGTTGGAGGAGAGTGAAAGATAAAAACAGGGATGAGAAGCGCACAAGGGACTATGGTGATGAGACACAGGTGAACTGGTGATGGGAATTTCACAGGGAATACACCTGAGAGGAGAAAGCATACATTGTTCAAAAAATGAACAATGATATAAACTATATATAAAATGAAAAACATCAGCTATAAAAAAAAACTCTGATAAAATTGGATTAATAAGAATAAAAAAATCTTCTGAAAAAACACTGTTAAGACAAGCCAGACTGAGAGAGAAAACATTTGCAGAATATATATCTGACAAAGAACATTGTCAAGGGGTATGAAAATCTCAATTGTAGGCTTGGGTCACACACCTCAGAAAAGTCAAGAATCTCAGGGACATCCCTGGGGACAAGCTGGCCTCTCAAACTGTGTCGCACAGTCCACAGTTAGCACAACAACCCAGGGTGAGACCTGTTGTTTGTCTTTTAATCTGTCTGCAATCTTTAGTCCTAGGAGATTACATATTTATGTAGACAGATCTTTCATACTTTTTATGATTTTTTTCACCAGTTTTCACCTTACTTTTGCATTGAGAAGACTGATATCCTTTTTTGCTGGTTTGAGTCTTTTTTTCAAGATTTTAAAAAGAAATAAGCAGAGGGGGAATTTGTGTGAGAGGATTCGCCAGGGATCGAACTTATACTGCAGACAGCTTCATAGTGCTGAGACTTAACACCTTGAGCAACCAGGGAGGCCCCATCTTTAACAATTTTAAAGATGACTGGCCAGGGGTGAGGGCCAAGAACTCATGTGATAAAGCTGGAAACCTTGATAGCTCCTCCCTCCCAGCCCAGGGGCTCATGGAAAGGTAAAGGAAAGAATGTGTCCTATGAAAGTCATCTGTTCTTCCAAGACTTCTTCTATGAATGTGGGTTCTTTGGATCTATGCCTTACTCTCTTCCAGCTCCCTTTGGCTGTGTGGTTTGGAGTCATCCTAAGCCCAGGACATGGTGCTTAGGATGCAATACACTCCCTACATTCTGGTGTTCCTAGGACAGTCACTCTGAAAAACTCTTCATGGGAGTGAGAGGGCAGTGGGGTGGTTTTCAGAGATGAATCCCAAGGTAACTGCACCTGAAGGGTGTAGAGAAACAGTTTCACAGGCAAAGACAGCTAAGTCTATGGTGGCTGAAAGGTCTCCTTAGGCCACAGTTTTCAGGGGAAGGTTTCTATAAAGAGTATCAAAAGCAGAAGTGTATATATTGCTATTTCTTCTATGTTTTTTCTGCATTTCTTAAGTGTTTTTTTTTTTAAAGAAATGCATTTCTTGCTTTTTTTTTTTTCAAGATCTATTCGTTTATTCATACAGAACTGGGGTACAGGCCAAAGATGCGAAGGGTGAGAGGATTCACCAGAGACAGAGTGGGGAGCAGAACAGGCAGATCGACTAAGTACACTGCTGAGGGGAGCAGCGGGAGGGCCAGGAGAGGTCTGCCACACCATGTGGATCACCTCCAGGGCAGGCGGGGATCGAACTCATGCGGAAGTGGCTTAAGCTTCTTAGTGCAGTGCTCCAACTGGCTGCACCACCAGGGAAGGCCCTCTTAAGTGCTTGTTTTAAAAATTTTAATCCTGTGAGAATTTTAAAAAAAATTTATTTATTTATTCATAACACAAAACTGGGGTACAAGCCAAGGTGCACAGGTGGTGAGAGACAGAGTGAGGAGCAGAACAGGTAGATCGACGAAGTACACTGCTGAGGGGAGCAGTGGGCGGGTCAGGAGAGGTCTGCTGAGCCATGTGGGTCACCTCCAGGGCCGGGGCTCCTCACACTGAAGCGGCTGCAGCTCGCTTGCAGTGCTGCATCCCAACCCATCCCGCCACCAGGGAGGACCCCTTCAGTGCTTTTTAAAATTTAATATTTTGATTAGTAATCCATTCACATGCTTCAAAAGTAAAAACATACACTGAAAAATCCCTGCCATCAATCTGACAGTCAGTACTCTGACATTTCCCCACACATGCAGGTAACCACTTTTCTTAGTTTCTTCTGCTTACCTCCAGATTGTGCCTTAAGGTACATACAATAACTGATAAATATCATTGTTTCCTTCCCTTTATTTCACATATAAGGTAACACTCTACACACACTGCTATACACCTTTATTCTGGTGATCTTTCCAAATCAGTACACAGATTTTTCTTATTTTGTTTTATAGATATTTAGTACTCAACTGGATAAATGGATATTGGTATATTTCTAAGCAGCCATTTTTACAATATGTATCAAAAGAGTTTTAAGTTTTTCATAGATTTTGATCTTGCAATTGTTCTTTCAGTAATCTATCCTAAAGGAATAAACACGAGATGAGTACAAAAGAGTGATGCACATGGATATTCACTGCATGATTCTCTGTGACTATTTCCCTCAAAAGAAATAAAAAGGAAGCAAGAAGCAAGTTACACAAGTAAGGGTGGTACATCCCTTCAAAAGAATATCATGTAATTATTTAATGTTCATGGAGAACACTGGTAACACAGGAAAATTAAGATAAGCCAACTAATTATAGATACAAAATTTTGTTTTGTAAATGCAAATAAAAAGAAAATATGCCCATATGTTAATGTTTCCTCTAGGTGTTAAAATAACAGTTGCTTTTCCTCATCAATACTTTTCTGTATTTTTCTAATTTTCTAGCATAAGTACCATTACTTGTTATAATCAGCAAGAAAGGTTAAAAATGCAATCTGTGGTCCTTTACTATAACCCCAGGAGACCACAAGAACCTCCTTGTCTAGTCTTTCTCCCCAAAGTTTTTACCAAAGCCAATTCCTATAAAGAGCAAATTCTTGAAGAGGTAGAAAAATGAGTTTATTTACTTCTTTCCTTGTCCACGCTCTAAAGGCCAAGTTCAGGGCTTTGCCACCATGGACCAGGTAGGATGCAGGGTGTCTCCTGTTCTCTCGCAAACCTAAAGGGGGAAGAGGAAGGCAGACTGTCAACAGAGCCATTCACAGAACTGAAGGATTTGTAACCTCTTTCAGACAATCAAAGAAAATATTCAAGGTTCTGAGCACAACTCTAGATTTCAATCCTTAAAGCTGTGTTTATTTAGTTTCATTTTTTGTATGTAGCTTCCCAGTTTCCCCAGCACCATTTGTTGAACAAACTTTCTTTGTTCTATTGTATATTCTTTGCTCATTTGTCAAAGATTAGCTGCTGCTTTATTTACAATAGGAAACCCAAATGCCCAAAAGTAGGTGACTAGATGAAAAAGATGTGGTACATATATATGATGGAATATTACTCAGCAATCAAAAAAGATAAACTCATGCATTTGCAGCAACATGGATGAAGCTGGAAGGGATCATGCTTAGTGAAATAAGCCTGACAGAAAAAGAAAAAAGAATAGATGGCTTCACTCATAGCAGGAGAATAGAGGACCAGGGGGGGGAAATAAAATAATAATAATGATGATGATGATAATGATAATGATGACAACAACAAAAACAACAACAACTATAATCCAGAGACATTTTATGGGGGTGGAGTGGGGAATGAGATCCAAAATGGGGGAGAGGGGGAAGTGTAATGGACTATGGTGATGGCAAGCAGGTGATTTGGTGATGGGAAGCCCACAGGGATTACATTGAGATGGAAAAGGCATAAAATGATGTAAAAATAAACTTTATATTAATAAAAACAAAACAAAACAAAACTTGTTTATTTAACGTGCACCTATTAAATGCCAGGCACTTGACATCACTAGCACATTTACTCCATATGGCCACTCTGTAAGCTAGGTATTATTATCTTTATCTTATATTTCAGGAAACAGACTCAGAGAGGCAAAGAGACTTGACCAAGGACACTCCTAGTAAGTGTCATAGTCAAAGCTGAAATCATATCTATCTGAATCTGAGGTCTGTATACCTTCAAGCACATTACTCTGTTTCTTGGGCTTCAAAATATGAATGCTCTCAAGGACCATGATTGTAGACAACCATTAATGCAAAAGAAGGATTAACTGTATTCTGGTTTATAACAAATAGCCAGATTTGGACTCAATAAAGCATTTTCTTTTTGAAGATTTAGTTATTTATACAGAACTGGGGTACAGGCCAGAGGTACAGGGGTGGTGAGAGGCTCACCAGAGACAGATGGAGGAGCAGAACAGGCAGATGGATGAAGTACACAGCCAAGGGGGGCAGTGGGTGAGACAGGAGAGGTCTGCTGCGTCTGGGGCTGGGGATCAAACTTGCATTAAAACTGCTGTGGCTGGCCCTCCCTAGTGGCGCAGCGGGTTAAAGCACAGCACTGAGAATCTAAAGCCGCTTCCGCATGAGTTCAATTCCCGCCTGCCCCGGAGGAGATCCACATGGCGTGGCAGACCTCTCCTGGCCAGCCCGCTGCTCCCCTCAGCAGTGTGCTTCGTCGATCTGCCTGTTCTGTTCCCCACTCTGTCTCTGGTGAAGCCTCTCACCGCCCCTGAGCCTCTGGCCTGTACCCCAGTTCTGTATGCACAAATAAATAAATCTTAGAAGGAAAAAAAAAAAACTGCTGTGGCTAAGCTTGTAGTGATGCTTTAACCCACTGTGCCACCAGGGAAGGCCTTTAATAAAGCATTTTCTAATGAACTGTGCTGTTTGGAACAGGTAATAAGCAAATAGTCATCCAGTTTCTGAACACTAAAGTGATAGTCTAAGTGGCAGAATAAGAACTTGAGGAGAATTTACTCATTCACTCTGAGGTTCTTTGTAACACTGAGATACTAATTCCTCCTGGCCAAGTCACCTTGAAGAATCTAAGTCTTAATAAGGGAGCCACACTATTTCAGAACAGAGCAGGAAAGAGAAAACCTAGCAGATTAGATTCCACTTGGGAAACAACACAATGATGCCAGGATGAGGAGAGGACTTGGACTTGTCCCCATTGGATACATATCCCATGTCCAGGAAACTCTAAGATTATCCAGGTTGAATTTATTACCTCAACTGGAATAATAACAGGAATAATTTCACTGTGATACAATTTTCTTTTACCTTTGCTAAATAAAAGTTAAAAATCCAAGCCTTACCTCTCATTATGTTTAATATAAAAGCCAGTCTTCAAAGATCACATACTGTATGTTTCCATTTTAAAAGCATTATTGAAATGACAAAATTATAGAGGTGGAAAAACAGATGGGACAGTGGGCAAAGGGTACCATACCTCGAAAGATGTCCAGGATGTGCTTTCCCACATACCAACAGATGGTTTCAAAGTTGGGGAACTTGAAGAGGTCAGCTGTGCTCAGTCGCTTCTCAATTTCATAGGCTCTGGAGGAAGTAGGCACAAAAATTTAACAAAAATCCCATTTATTATGTACCTACTATGCCTGAGATATTTCTGGATGCTTTATATCTGATATATATAATCACATTACCTTGTAAGACCCTAACTTATGGTTAAGAAACTTGGGTTCAAAAGTTATGAGGCTTCAAAGATCTACAAAGAGCTGTAAAAATTCAATAAAAACAAAGTAAACAACCCAGTCAAAAAATGGGCAGAAGAGCTAAAAAGACACTTTTCTGAAGAGCAAATGCAAATGGCCAACATGCATATGAAAAAATGTTCAACATCACTGGTAAGCAGGGATATACAAATCAAAATCACAATGACATACCATCTTACACCAATGAGAATGGCACATATTAAAAAAATTAGCAACAACAAATGTTAGTGAGGATATGGAGAAAAAGGTACTCTCCTGCACTGCTGGTGGGAATGCAAACTGGTCCAACCACTATGTAAAGCTGTGTGGAGGTTCCTCAAATTGCTAAAAATGCACCTCCCATATGATCCAGCAATTCCACCTCTGGGCATTTACCCAAAAGACACAAAAGAATTATTCAAAAGTGCATTTGCACTCCTATGTTTACTGCAGCACTATTTACAATAGGTAAGCTATCGAAACCATACAGTTGCCCAAAAATAGATGACTGGATCAAGAAGACATGGTATATATACACAATGGAATGTTACTCAGCAATCAAAAAAGATAAACTCATGCTATTTGCAACTACATGGATGGAGCGGGGAGGGATCATGCTCAGTGAAATAAGTCAGAAAGGAAAAAAAAATACTGGATGGTTTCACTTATAGGAGGAATGTAGGAGACCCAAATAAGGAATTGGGAGAAAAAAAATAGTAATTATAACAAAATCAAAATCAAAATCAACAGGCAACTATAAATCAGAGACTTTCTTCTGGGGTGAGGTGGGGTTGAGAAGAAACTGGTTCAAAATGGGTAGGAAGAGCCCAAGGGGCAATGGCAATGATGCATGGGTGAGCTGGTGGTGGGAACTCCTTGGGGACCATATATGAGTGGAAAGAGCATACTCTGTATGAAAAAGAAGAATGATGTAAAAATATATATACAATTTTTAAAGCCTGCATTAATTCACACATTAAAAAAGTTATGTGATTTGCCATGCTAGGTAAGGATGATGTATTTACCTTCAGGCTGAACACCAGTACCAATTCCTTCCCAATCATCCCCACCTCCTTTTATGCTCATTATTGGGGATAACCCAAAGACTCTAGCAGACAGGAATGAACAACTCAGGATCACCGTGACATCAGGACTCACTTGAGTTGCATTGCAATATTAAGGCTGTGTAAGAAATTCCCTCCAAAAGCAAGGCAGTCCACAGGGGTCAGCACAGCATGGATCCATCCTGCAATATAACAAGACAAAATCATAGCTGGCCAAGGACCTTTCTTCCTTTGGAAATCTCCACTGTCTCCTTAATGCAAACACATCTTCTTTGAGCAGCCAGTCTGGCAGAGACTTGGTATATTATATGAGTTCCTCCACCATCTCAAGCCATCTTGGCTGAGTGTACTATCATTGTAAACTTGACTAGATCTATATGTGGTTAAGAAACTCCTTCTACTTCTCTCCTCCCCTCTTCTGTTGCCTCACTCATCCTCCTTTCTTGTTTCTAGTAAGGGATTTAAACTTGACAGGCCTACCTCTTTTAACTCTAAACAATGAGCTTTTGCATTGGGTAGACCTGGGTTCAAATTTTGCCATTTTCTACCTAAATATCCACATCACCAGATTGGCAGTGAAATATAAACCTAGTTGGAAATCAGTTATTTCCCTTGCCCTTGCCTTTCCTTTGAGAGTGATCTGATTTCTCCTCTGGAATCTCTCTCATATTTATCTTCCCTTCTCCATTCACCCAACCTACCAATACCATAGAGTTCAGAACCCTGATTATCTGTCATCAAACCTACTTGCAACAACCTCTAAATTGGCTTCTCCACATTAGTAGTTTGGGCCAGTGAATCCTGGAGTTAGTTGAGACTTTCAGAGAGTATATGAGAGCAAAACTATATTCATGATAGCATTTAGATGTTATTTGTCTTTTTAACCCTCATTCTCTTAAGGGTGTAGTGGAGTTTCCCAGAGTGTACATGCTGTCTTATCACAACATGCAGAAGCAGACTTGAGGATCTAACCACTTCCTATTAACCCATACATTAAAATAGGTTTGCAAAAAAAAAAAAAAGTTAATGTAATTCTTATCACTAAAACTTCTTGGTTTGAAAATGGTTATATTTCATAAAACCTTAATACTTAGGCCAACATATAATGAGCTTATTTTTTCTTTTCTCAATAGATTAATATATTACATTTCTCAGCTTTAATTTATAATGTCGTAAATATTAATAACATAAGACACATAAATAAAAGTTCTTCAGGGTCCTCTATAATATATAAAAGTATAAAAGGGATACATAGTCCCAGATGATAGCTCTGCACCAATAATGACCTCTCAAGTCTATCTACATCCAAACCTATGTGATAGATCTAAAACACAAATATGTGATATCATTCTCTGCTCCAAATTCTTCAATGTAATATCCATCCCCCAGAATAATGGAGAAATTAATGAACTACATATGTATGAACAATCATAATGTTCAAAGGAAAATGCAAGTTAAGAATATATCCAATAATTCCATTTATATAATGTTCAAAAATATGTAAAAAAATACTACATATTGATTAGTGAGGTATATAGATGCAGTAATTGGATAAAAATGCATGATGGTGACTAACATCAGCTCAGGATAATAGATAGCTATGAAAGGAAAGAATGGGAGTGTAAACCAGAAAAAGTATACAGAAATCTTCAAGTAGATATATATTTTTAGCTGAGTCATGAACATATAAATGGTCATTATATTAGCCTTTTTATCTTTTGCTTCATCTGAAATTTCAATTAGAAGTGAAATAAATAATCCTTCATTTGTCCTAGTTACCCCTGGGATAGGTTTTGTCAACCGTCATTTCTAGCATCATCTGTACCCAGTTCTTGATCATTTTAGGATCCATTTTAGTAAACTGCTCTACAGAGCCTTGCTTTGCTTATATCTTTCCCTGTATCTAAGATGTTATTCTGTTTTTCTTTCCTTAGTTAGTTCCTACTATCTCTTTAGACATCACTCTTCTGAGATTTTCACAAGGCTCTGGCTAGATTAATTGTTCTCTGTACTTCCAAAACTTGCATTGATTACCTGTACTGTGGTTCCTCATATCATGCATGAAAATCACCTCAAAATGGATAAAAGATTTTGGCATAAGACCCGAAACCATACTATAGATAGAAGAAAATATTGGTAGAACACTACAAGACATACATCTCAACAACATCTTTAAAGACTCTTCACCCAAAGCAAAGAAAATGAAGGAAAAGATAAACACATGGGACTACATCAAACTGAAAAGCTTCTGCACAGCAAAAGAGACATTAACCAAGACAAAGAGGTACCCTACTGACTGGTAAAAAAGAAATCTTTGTATACCATATAATGGGCAAGGGACTGATCATAAAGATATACAAAGAACACACTTGAGTAAAAAAAACAAAACAAACAACCCAGTCAAGAAATGGGCAGAAAAACTTAAAAGACACATACTCGAACAGGAATTGCAAATGGCTAGCAGGCATATGAAAAAATGTTCAACATCCCTCATAATCAGGGAAATGCAAATCAAACCGCAATGAGATACCACCTCACACTAGTGAGAATGGCACAGATCAAAAAAAAAAAAAAAAAATGACATAATGTTTGTGCTTCAATTTTATCAAATTAAAAATAGGTCACAGAATAAACTTAAAAAAAAAAAAAAAAAGGAACCACAACAAATGTTGGTGAGGATGTGCCGAAAAAGGAACTCTCCTACATTGCTGATGGGAATGCAAACTGGTACAACCACTATGGAAAGCTCCATTGAAATTCCTCAGACTACTGAAAATGGAGTTACCATATGACCCAGCAATTCCACTCCTAGGATCTACCCAAAGGACACAAAATATTAATTCAAAAGGACACCCACCCCTATGTTTATTGCTACACTGTTTACAATAGGGAAGACATGGAATCAACCGAAATTCCCAAAAATAGATGACTGGATCAAGATGTGGTATATATACACAATGGTATATTACTCAAGAAATCAAAAAAGATAAACTCATGCCATTAGCAGTACCATGGATGGAGCTGGAAGGGATTATGCTCAGTGAAATAAGTCAGAAGGAAAAAAGAAAAATATAGAATGGTTTCACTTATAGGAAGAATTTAAGAGAACCAAATAAGATAGGGGGGAAAGTACATTGTTATTACAATACAAAACAAAACAAAAACAAACAGACAATTATAAACCAGAGCAATCCTACAGGGGAGGGGGACAAAGAGGGATCAGAAGGAGGGAGCAATGAATGTGGGGGGCTATGGTGATGATTGGAGGGATGGGAAGTAAACATTATTGTAAAATGAACAATAATGTAAATATATATATATAGATATATATATAGATATATAGTTATATATATAATACCTCTACTGTGGTTATTAGAACATTATACTTAAATGGTATATCATTCTTTTGTCCCTAGTAACTTGTCTAATGCTGGGACAGACAATATAAACTCAAAGCTTGTGGAGCTAAGCAGATGATACATATTTGTGGTAACTTCTATCAAGATGCAAAGTAATCTAATTCAAACCTTGTTAGGCAATTCAATTCAGCAAACAGTTGTTAAGTACATCAGTATAGGAATATCATTCGGCAAGATCCAACAAAGGATTCTAAGATGGATGAATAAATGCTTGGAAATAGAAACTTATAAAAGAGAAAAGGAAATGGGTATGGTGTTATGGGTGACTTGCCTCATCATCATACATTCTATAAAATAATGTAATAAAATGATATTGGTAGATGAATAGACAAACATGCAAAGAAAAGATAATCCAGAACTATAGCTATAATGTTTGAGGTGTTAAAATTACATAAGAACCTTAAAATACTATATTTGAAATAAAAAAAATGTAAAGGGTGGACTCAATAGAAGAATGGAGACAATGGAAAAAAGAACCGGAGAACTCAAAGAGAGCAATAGAAAGTACCCAATATGAACAAAAGAGCGGCAAAAGATTGAGAAAAGATAAACTCCTGGACTTGTGTAACTCATAAATGTCAGATCCAGGAGAAGAGAGGTTAAGTTAGAGTCTGGGGCTGATAAAGAATTCATATAAGGGCTAAAATTTTTACTAGCATGGCAAAAGACATAAACCTTTATATTGAAAAAAAATCAGTGAAACACAGTAAAACCCAAAGAAATCCATGGAAACACATATGTAAATCAAACCACTTAAAACTAAAGAAGAATTTTTTTTTTAAATATTGAAAATAGCAAGAAATGATACATTATTTTTTAGGGGAAAAACATTCTGAATGTTAGCCAAAATCTCACAGAAGTAAGGGAGGCCAGAGTAAGTAGCACAACATCCTTCAAGAGCTGTAATGGACAGAACCATTCACCCAGAATTCTATACTTAGGAATATAGTTCAGGAATGAAAAAGAAATCAAAACATCAACAGATGAAGGAAAACTAAGTGAAACTGTTAAACTGTTATAAGACCTATCCCAAACTCTAAACAGACAGGAAATGACAAAAAATGGAATCACAGAGCACAGTTAAGAAGAAAGAACAAGAGAAGAGTATCCTAAATTATGTTTGGCAGTTTGAATAATAACTCAAAACACAATGTAATGTTCTCAATGTATGAAGAAGAAATATTTAAGGCAAATATACTGTAAATGGGAAAGGTAAAAGAATGTGAACATAAGATTTCAACCATTCCCTTGAAATGGTAAAATGTCAATACTATTAAATTGTGATAAGATATATGCAAATATAAAATAAAAATATAAAACTACAGTAAGCTCCAGAAATTCTATACAAGACCTGAAGCTCAATTCATATGGAAGCTGAGGGGGCTCAGAATAGACATAATAATCTTGAAAAAGAAATGTTAGAAAGCTGACACTTCCTGAAACCAAAACTTACCATAAATGTATAGCAAATGAGAAAGTGAGAGACAATAAGAATAAACACATAGAACAATGAAAAGGAATTCAAAGGCCAGAACCAAACATAACATTTATTTTCAACTGACAGTTTTTGACAAGACAATGCATTAGGGAGAGATTTCAAATTTTTTTGAAATCATTCTGGGATAAATGGACATTCAAATGTAAAAGCATGAAATTGGATCCTTTGGCCTCACACTGTATAGGAAAAAAATTTTTAAATGAACTTGAAGCCCTCCCTGGTGGTGCAATGGGTTAGGACACAGCACTGCAAGCTGGCTGCAGCC